ATGAGGATAAATTATCGACATTCATTCTGGTACTTATCCCTGACTGCATAGCCATCATACTATATACATCGAATCGAAGTATCTACCGCATGATCATTTGTAAAAGTTTGAATTGCAGCAGTGAAATGCAAGGAGGGTCGTTTTTAGGTCAAAAAAATTATTATGCAAACGTTGCAGATGAATATCTACGGTAGGCTTTCATTCGTTACTTGATTTCAAAGGAGAGAAGAAGAAATTAATCTTTTCATTTAGGTACTTGTTCGCACTGAACGCCTTTCACCCTGCCGAAGCGATGTGGATATGCGTCGAAAAGTGCCCGTCTACGTGGCTGCCGACTCCGAACGCCATTCAGTCCTTTGCACAGTCGAACGGTTCCAAACTTTGCCACTATAGTGTGCCCATCGAGGCGTACAATTCTTGGATGTCATATTCGAACAGCTCTTTTGGTCCTTGTCCCGTTTTACCGGTTTTTAAGAGGTGAGAAATGAAAAGACTTGTCGTCATGGGGGACATGAATAACCATAGAATAGGTTTGCAAAATAAAAATAAAATATTTGCATGCCGTAAAGTAATATTTTGTTAGAACAAAATTTCGGTCAGAGTTTCCAGCCTTCATGAGTCAAGTAATGAAGTTCACAGATTCCTTTACTTTTATGAGTAAAAATTTGATAGCTGAATATTCTTGTATTAAAACGAGAATTTGCCTGTGTAACTATTCCATGTAATCGTTTCCATCGTAATAAAAGGCGACAGTCCTAAACACAGGATTAATTGAAACGAAAAGCTATGCAGTGATAAGCAGTTCCCTGTTCCACATATCTTTAATGCAGAAATCATAAATTCACTGAACATTTATTCTCGTCTGATAGTTTGCATTTTGCAGAGCATAATTGAAAACAACAGTCGATTATTCCTTTTTCGTGATTAACGGGAAGCACAGTTGTCTTGCCTCCATGCCCACGCTCATCTGTATGGTGAATTTGTCGCCACAAGCTTTTACACCTACCAGTTGGTGCGCTCTGTGGCATAGTGACAAAGAGGTGGTTTTTGAACTTTAGAGGTGTCGGCTTCGAACCCGCTGAAGGGATAATTTTACGGCTAGTAAGTAGGTGACTTTCGAATAATCGGGACAGCCTGGTTTTCCGACAAAGTGTACGATGTTGCTGTTCGAAGAGAGTTCCCGTTGAGGATGCATTTGTGGCTTTGATCAACCTGACGGCTGACTGTCTAGTATAACAATCAGCACAAGGCGCCAGCCGGATTTCGATTTTACATCATTCTATTACATATCGTCCCATCTGAGCTCCTTGAATATCAATCCGTTCACGGCTTAAGTTCACTGGTATTCATTCAGTGGTGGGATATGATCTTTTCATTGTCATTAAGCATTATGCTAATTGTATTTGTCGAAATTTGACAAAATATAGACTCTTTAATCAGTATAATAATATGTCATGATGGTAGGAGGCTACGGCGTATCACCCAGGTTGGCAAGTCGCTGTATCGCGTCATAAAATTATATCGTGCTTTCTATTTTTGCGAACTAATGTATTGATTATTTTTGTCATCGTCATCTGAAGTATTATGGTCAAAGACAGAGTATCCAGATTAATGTCTGACGCTTTAGCTTCTCAGAATAATTTAGGCGATGTTGTATGCTGCGACAAACATAATGTTTCTTGTCGCAAGCAAGTCGGCTTCTACCAGCTGCTTGAGGGTGCGATGTATGCGTATCGATTCGTACGTTCTGTGCCTTTGCTTTTTAATTCATTGATGTGTTGAATGTTTTTGTACGTATTATTATGTCGTGATTCTTTGTTCAGAAACTTCATCCCGTCTTTTAAACGAGCGATAAGGGCGACGTTTACGTTCAGCTCGTGGCCATTTTCTGGGTATGAGTGTTCAGGATGGTTATTATATAGTATCTTTGAAGTTCTGAGGGTTTTCTCAGTGTAAGCTATATCGATGTAATATTTTATTTCATTGAAACATGATTATTAATTTGCACGCAAGGACGACTGTTAAGCGGTTTCTTCAATATGGAGCCAAATGCAAAGTCAATAGAGAAAAACACATGGAGTCCGCACTTAAATATCTGTGGAATTTTTCAGTTACGTCCGCAATAAATAAATGATACCGGAATTGTATTAATTAATTCATCTTGCAGGCAAAGATGCAAATAAAACACGTGAACATACTTTATTCTAACAAATTTATGGCTACGGAAAAGCAAGCAAATTTAAAGTCACAGTCGGTCCAGGTGGTGTTAATAAAATTTAAAGCACCTAAGTACTGCCCGACAGTCACTTTTCCGGATTCACACGGCGTACACTGACACCGCCCATTTGCTTCTCTTTGACTAGGGACATTTAACCAGGTCATGGCTTGGTATTACTAGTTTACCCCGGTATAATGATATGTTGTTTACTAGCAGGATAACGGTGCGACTACACCATGTGAATCCGGAGAAGTGAAAGCGGATGTTTAGTTTTACCGACTGTATTACAACTAGCAGTTTGCTTTAAAAAAGCCATAGAGGCAGTGTTATTTTTTTATTAAATATTTTCGAAATAATGAGTTTCAGAAATAAATAAATACTGCATGGCCAGTCGATTTTTTTAAAACCAGGTAAATGCTTTTGTCCTTACTTTCATAAAAGCAGTAATTCGTACTTTTTAATTTAATTGATTATGCTCCGGAAGCCGAAAGGAATAATGGAACTGTGAAAATAAACAAATTAATTTTTGACTCTTCTGAAGTTTGTTGTAAATTAATTTTGGGCTCGAAGTATTTATGCAGTTTTCAGCAGTTGCTTAACGAGCCTTTAGCTGGATTTTATGTTCTTCGTTCTTCAGCCAGCCACTAATGCGCCGTTGTGTGCCATCGGAAATTCCGCTGTCCAGCAACCTAGTTTTGGCCATCTACGAAGAATTTTTTGGTGTTATAAACGGCGCCAGCTTGCTCTCGCAAATTTTCGGCGACGTGATCCCTACTTTGCAGAATGTCGTATTTTTGTGCTGTTTCAGTTTTGGTGCGAATTACCTGGTTTTAAACTGTTTTATATGTTTTATTTTTAGTCATTTCGTTTATGTTGTTTGTGGTTATCGGCTTAGGGACAAAAGCTGCCCTGTACGTTGTTTTTGCCATTACCCTCATTCTAAGCTTGGGTACTTAATGAATGGGTAATTTGGAAATTTAGTTTTTAATTTTTAATCGGTTTTTGTAGCTGCGACAGCCGAGTTTGGCCTGGAGCATCGGCAGATGAAGCGCTCGCTCGACCATGAAACTGACATGAGTAATGGAAGCCAAATTCTAGCAGTTGAAGCTTTGCACGAACACGGTCTTTTGATATGTTTTTATGGGTGCATTGGAATAACGGTAAGGGTCGAAAACGTTTAAAGTTAGTAAACTGCGAGATTAATTCGTTTGAACAAGATCATCAAATAACCTTACTTTCAGAATTAAGCTGTTGATGCAGACGCGTAAACAATTTTAATTATTAGACATACAAACAGAAAGCAATACGATAATGTCATTCCTCACTGATAACAATATTTGACTTAGTACAGTTCCTTTAGAGCTTACAATGGTGTAAGGCTAGGAATACGGTTGTGTAGAATTATTAATTCTAGACAATAGCAAAACAAATGACCATCAGCCACTTAGGCGATGCTAGCCAAAATCGACAAAAGTATTTATGGCATTGAAGCAATTCCACCTGCAAAAGCCCGAAACCGACTTCAAAGCATAACTTAAGCGCTAGTGGTTTACCATCCGTTTAAATTCTGAAAAACTGCAGTTCTGACCTCCAGCCGGCATCCTGGAACATGTCACTTTTAACGAGCTTCCATTCGATGTCAACATTACT